AAAATTTTTCCCAGGGTTGGCCGAACACCCTGTATACCCAAAGAAGTTTCAGTAATTTCTATTGATTATACGACTGGTGTGCGATAAAACTGGATTATAAATTGTTAATTTATAGAATATGAATTTAAATTTGTATACAGGATGTTTGCGTAATTACTATATAGCATTTTTTCGCGAATAATTGTGTTTTCCAGAATGACGGTATCGACTTGAAACAAAGTTAGTTTTCAAGGGCGTTTTATCTTCTATCCGATGAAAATTAAAAAATTTCGATGTAGTTTGCAAATTTTCTGTATGAAGTTAAGGTACTAACAGATTTTGAAAGTGCATGCTTCAAGAAAAAAAATATAATATAAAAGAGAAAGACATCTTACGAATAAACTGTAAAACACAACTTTCTGTACATAGAAAGCAAAAATTAGAAGTACATTGCCTCGTAAAAGAGAAAAAGAAAGACTGGTCATTTGACGGGTCTTATTTAGATGTATAATATATCAAACTTAGGTGCATAATAGTTATACTACTTTTGTTAAATTTAATTTAAACCTATTTCCTCTCACTTTTACTCAATTTTGTCCACAACAAAATATAGGAATTGGAGGTAGGTCGAGTACTTGTGAGAAAGATAAAAGTTGAGCATACCTTTCTGTTGGCGAGTGAGATGTCGGCACAGTTTCATAGCCAACAAAGTAAGCTGAATTTCGTTTTAGAAGACTGGGGAAAGGTAGCATGATGTCGGAGCTTTCACTATCACGCATTGTGCAAAGTGGTGGGGGAAACGACGGGACAATAGGAACACTCGTTGTTTCTCCCCCACTTCTCAAAAATCGGATGTACTTTACTTTTTTTACTATGTTGGTCATAAGTCCGCACAGAACAGTAGAATGTGATGTATATGTAGCCTTTCTACCATAAAAAACTACTGTTTCACGGTTTTCAAGATTTAGAATCCGCCCTAAATTCCCAATGACATTTTGTCTACTCTTTAAGGCTGTGTTGGAAGAAGATGCATATGTACTTTGCAATCAAAATCAGAATCATAGCGACTGTTTAACAGAACTGGCTTAGCCTGATAAGAACCAAGAATAATTTCAACTTTTGTACGTACTTACCAAGGTTTCTGAACAACTAAGAATTACATAGTCATTGTACACCAAGAATTAATTTTGCTTAATGACACACGTTGTTTTTGTTAATAGAAGGATCTTTGTATAATTACAAAAATTTAGTGTATTTGTTTTTAAAACCAGCGACGAACTATTCTATACAAATGCTCAAGCAATAATTACTATTTGTTTGGAAAGAATCGATTCACTTTCGCAAGAATCGTCGAAAAATTTCTCTAAACCAGCAATATTGAACAACATATCCAAACGAAATTTCAATAGTGGGGAAAACACGAAAATATCGACAGGTCCGTTTACATCGCCAGTCAGTGTCTTCAAAAGTTTCATTTAAAAAATTTTAAACCATCAGTCAATAACCATTTGTACCTATTATTTTGATATCTACAATAGTCTTGAATAAAACAGCCCACAATGATTCAGTTTCATTTTTGAAAGCATAATTCTCTTGAAGAAAAAGAGACTCTGTTGCAGTAATTTATGGTAAAGCTTATGTGAAACTTTATTCGCGTATTTCGAAATATTTTTTCTAGAGAAACATGAGCGTCATATATTTTGATCGCTCAAGGCTTTTAAAATATTAAAGGCTCATTCCACTGTACAGTCAAGATCGGTATTAAATAGTTCTTAATTTTTAATTATTCACATGAGGTCACTGCAAAATCAAACCTTCTATTTTATGTGTATATTGTGAGGGAAATTGTCGAGTGCAATTAAGTAATTTGAATTTATCGCCTAATTGTGTGAGTATGTCTGTCGAGAGAGCGAGCTTTGTAAACAAAGAGTATACCATTCTTAACTCTAATGGCGGCAGTATCTAAATCACGTGCCGTATTAAGTATAAAACATATTAGTCACGCATATATGATAATTGCTTTTTCCTAAAATTTAGAAAGTGTGAATTATTTCATAACCAAATATTAGAAATATTTATTCAGTTTTTACACAGATTTTCCAACGCCAACGTAACACATTTATTTTACACGTACAGCACGAGGGAACGCTCAAACCGGGAGAGAAGTAGCTAAAACAAAAACAGTAAATCCGTGCTTCTAACTTACCAGCATTACATTGCCCACAGCGTTACCAACCTCTACAAAATCGTGACCAGTAATGCCAGACTTCCGGCGTGGCTGCCTAGATTGATCTCCTTTATGAGATTCAGTACTATTTGTAGAATAAAAATCATGTCTGTTTACTGGTAATCGCTGACCCCATACGTGCAGTTACGGAATATTATACTTTTTGCGACGTTTTTCAATATACAGGGTGTCCAAAAAGATCGAGACCAAACTTACATTACGTATTATTGAGGTCAAATAGATAAAAATGTTCATATAAACTTATGTCTGAAAATGCTTTATTGAAAAGATATTTATGATTTATTGTAATTTTTCCCGTAAATTTGTCTTTATTTATGAAATCATGCAAAAGAATTGATTTATAAAAATACGATAAAAGCAGAAGATCAACTTTAGGAATGTATTCAAAATATATTTAATACTATTTTCAATACAGATGTAATATTTGAAAGAGTTCAACAGTCATCAATTCTATGAATAGAAGTCTGTATTCTTACAGAGGAAGAAATTTTCAATTTCTTATAATTGTCACAATAAATCATAAATATCTTTTCAATAAAGCATTTTCAGACATAAGTTTATATGAACTTTTTTCATTTATTTGATCTTAGTAACACATAATACAAGTTTGGTCCCGATCTTTTTTGAGACTCTGTATAAACACAAGTAGTTCTAATTTGGAATATATCGGTATAACGTTACAATTTTGAAGCTTGTGTATTTTGAAAAAAATTAAAAAGAAAGTAAAATAATATCTTTGAAAGGTACCAACCGTCAAATTAAAACGTAGTAATATTTATTTCGATGTTTATGATTACAGGTTAACTTTTTGTTTAAAACTGTTAACAAAAATATCATATACGTTAATAAACATTCAATTTTAAATAAAACAGTTGTTTTATTTGGTAGGACACTTCGTATCATATTGGAGTTGTATAAGACGTTCAAAAAGCGGGGTGCGAGTAATTAAGGGTTAACTTTTTAGAGCTCACAGTACAATTTAATGAAAAATTCTTTAATTTTGTTAAGTCAACAACAGTCCTTATTTAGAATCATGAATACAACACTAAATGATCAGAGAGACGATGAAATTTTCATAGAAATATTCTATTATTCATTTTGAAGATATATTTTTTAATTTCAACAAATTATCCAGTTTACACATAGAGGGGATATTTAATATTTTACATATAATAAACTTCCGATTAAAAATCGTTCTGACAATATATTAGGCACAAGAAATTATTTTTAAAATTAAGAGAAATAATTATTTAATGAGATCTGTTATTCGCGACATACTGATTAAAAATCACTCCTCTGACTATTCAGCTGCTCCATCTTCCGCTGCTTAGCGCAATTTTAGTGGCATATGTCCTCTGCTTTCCAAATACAGTGCCACGCAGTAACATCGCAAGAAAGGAGGTAACTGTTGGCGAAGTGGGCATGAGTGGACAAAACATTTCCCGGCAAACTTAGTAGAAACTGGTGGCACTTCAGACTGGTTGCACTTTCAATGCTGTTACAGCATACACTAAGTATCAGAGAGCCCCGAAAACCCTCACGCATCAAGGTTCAGGTATATTGCTTGTATACTACTAGGATTCCTGGACAGCTGTATTTAACACGTACTGTGGTTCTGACGATGGAGCAATCCAGTGTTTTGCAGGTCGACTCCCAGAAATCCCCCAACAAGATTCCCTTAGGAACTGTCGCGTTTCTTCCACACTGATATATGTACTGTCTCGTCTGTTGAATCTTCGAAATAAGAAATATACGAGGGTTGTTCAATAAGTCATATAGTTAAGTTACTTGATTGGCAATTGGGCAAGTACCTTAGGGTACAAAGCAAATTGCCGTACTCTCAAGCCGTAAAGCACCGTATTTTGGGACCATACCTGCCCCTTGGGACCGCGGACACCCACCCCTGTACCATCCTCAGTGGGTGGGAGTTCGAATATCTGAGGACTGGCCCACGAAGGATGGGCAGCGGTTTGATTGGATACACGAGGTTTCCACCTCCTTTTGAATGTGTATAAAATCGCGGGGCATTAGACTTTCCAAGTTAGAATAACACAAGAACTCCATAAGAACACCAGTAAGAACGTTGCAAATTAAACTATTAACACATGTACATATTTGTAAATAAATTCAAGTGTTGTAAATAGTATTGAACCTTCTATTTACTAAATAAAACGGCTCCACGAATATAGTAGGAGCCTACAATCTCCTTTTAGCTCTATACACTTTTCCAAGCGTTTCTCCAACTTTTTTAAGCCATCTGAAAAGTAAGATTTCGGAAAATTCGCAAAATAGGCACCTGTTTGGGCGGTGACCTCCTCGTTCGACGTGAACCGTTGTCCGCCGAGTCATTTTTTAAGTTTAGAAATAAAAAAAAGTCACTGGAGGCTAAATCCGGTGAAAAGGGTGGGTGTTGTAATAATTCGAACTTTAATTCCATGATTTTGGCAATCGAAACTGCACAGATGTGCACCCGTGCATTGTCTTGATGGAAGAGGATCTTTTTCTTTTTCAAATGAGGACATTTTTTCTTGATTTCTTCGCTCAACCGGTGCAATAACGACGCATAATACTCTTCAGTTATTGTTTTTCCTTTTTCCAAGTAATCGATGTAGATGATTCCTCGTGCATCCCAAAAAACTGTGGCCATCACCTTGCCGGCCGATTTCAGTGTCTTCGCTTTCTTTGGAGTCCGTTCGCCTTCAAAAACCTACTGTTTCGACTGTTCCTTCGTGTCTGGAGTGTACTGGTGTATCCACGTTTCGACCACAGTTATTTAACGACGCAGAAACTCGTCAGGATTGCGACGAAAAAGAGCCAAAACAGCCTCAGAGTCGACCACAGGATTGCGTTTATTCTCCACTGAGAGCAAACGCGGCACCCATCTTGCAGAGATTTTTTTCATTCCCAATTTTTCGTGCAACATTGAAAACACTGTACCTTGCGATGTGTCTGTGGCCTCAACTATTTCGCGCACTTTGGTTAGTCGATTACTCAAAACTATATCGTGGATTTTATCAATCATTTCGGGTGTAGTCACTTCCACTGGACGTCCCGAACGACGTTCATCATTTGTGGATGTACGGCCACGTTTAAACTCTTTTATCCAATTGTAAATAGTTGCAAACATAGGCGTAGATGTACCACGAACTTCATCCGACTCAGCTTTGGTCTCTTTCGATGTTAAGCCTTTTAAATACGAGTGTTTAATCACCGCTCGAAACTCATTTTTTTCCATTTTTCTAAATAAGCAAAAGTTTCTTGCATCAATTGACAATAAAAATGAAATCGTGTGGTGGATATAACTGAGAATTTGATAGCTGTCTAGTGAGTCATGATGCTTACTAAAAATAAAAGTTTTCGATGCTACGAGCCGCAGCTCTCGCATTTTCTAAGGACTTATTGAACGACCCTCGTACATAACAAAAGTTATCTCCAGTATCGAAAAACTACACAAATGAAAGCAACGTACATATACAGGGTGTTCGGCCACCCCTGGGAAAAATTTTAATTGGAGATTCTAGAGGCCAAAATAAGACGAAAATCAAGAATACCAATTTGTTGATTGAGACTTTATTAAAAAGATATTAACGTTTAAAGTTCCGCCTGTAGAACGGGAATCTGCGAACAGCTGCTAGTTGTTCTCACTCATAAAATTGTAAGGTTGTCCATACGTCAGTAAGTAGAGTTTCTCATACTGAGTGAAAACCACTATTTTAAACGTTAATAACTTTTTAACGACGCCTCAATCAACAAATTGGTATTCTTGATTTTCATCTTACTTTGGCCTCTAGAATCTTCCATTAAAATTTTTTATGCCGGATAATTGGACCATATCTACATATGAAGTGATAAAAACGAGAAATATAATCGCAGATCTCTGGCTACACATTATATTTTTGGTAAATAATTTTTTTATCGAAAGTGCGTAGGAATTTGAGGGTATATGTATTGACCAAACATGATTGTAATTGACCCCCGCAACCGGAAATAATTTTTCCAGAATGATTTGAAACTTTCCATTTTCGCCGAAAGGCACCTTGTCGATTTCTCTTAAAAATTCGTTTTTAATTTTTAATAATTTTGTTTGACGCTGTACGGGAATGTTGTCTAATACTTCTTTGTAGGTATCCATGAACTCTACTTTTTCCAAAAAATTCAATCCAATATATTCACTATTTTCGGAGTTATGGTCGTTTGAAGATTGAATCATTTTTATTGGGTTTTCTCACTTCACGGGGTTAAGAACAACTTTTCGGAATTTCTTGGAATTTCTACATATTCTACGCCAAAATACGCGCTGTTTGCATTTTGAAACAATTAAAATCCTCCAATTCGTTCAGGAGTTGTGATGTTTTAAAAATTCACATGAAAGGGTACCATTTCTGGCCCCATATTATATTGTCGGTGTAGAATTTTTTTCTCGAAAGTGTGTAGGAATTCGGGATTACGTCTATTCGTCAAAAATGGTTGTAATTGACCCTCCCAGCGAAAAATAATTTTTTTAGATGGATTTAAAACTTTTTTTGTCCGCCGAAAAATTTTTGCATCTACTGAATTTTTTTCTCGAAACTGCGTAGGATTTGGGGGGTATGTTTATTCACCAAAAATGGTTGTAATTGACCCCCACAACTGAAAATAATTTTTGCAAAATGATTTTAAATTTTTTAATTTTGGCAAAAAATTTTTCTAGTCTTGTTTCAATTTTTCCTGTCTGTTCAAGTCTTGTTTGTTCAACCTTCGAAATAGGAAACATACTTAACAAAAGTTACCTCTACTATCGAATAACTATACGTTGCTTTCACTTGAAATCAACGTTAGATGAAAGATACCAGAGATTCTCACAAGTGAAGGATCCCATCAGTACCTTTTCAAGTTTAATGACCTTCTGTAGAATGATAGAATATATACTTTGGCGAACCTGTCGAAATGATGCACCCTCATCGATTTTAATAAGGTTGATACGTGTTATAGAAAATATCATTTTGACCAACTTTTTCTTTTTCATATACAGGGTGTTCGGCCACCTCTAGCAAAAATTTTAATGAGCGATAGTAGAGGCCAAAATAAGACGAAAATCAAGAATACTAATTTGTTGATGGAAGCTTCGTTAAAAAGTTATTAATAATTAAATTCAAAAATTTCAAATCGTTCTGGAAAAATTATTTTCGGTTGCGGAGGTCAACTACAATCATTTTTGGTGAGTACACATACCTCCGAAATCCTATCTACTTTCGAGAAAAAAAATCGAGTAGGTGCTGAAATTTTTCGGCGAAAAAAAATTGCAAATCGTTGTGGAAAAATTATTTTCGGTTACGGGGGTCAATTACAATCAGTTTTTGTCATTAGACATACCCACGAAATCCTGCCCACTTTCGAGAAAAAAAATAGAGAAAATTAAAAAATTGCAAATCGTTGTAGAAAAATTATTTTCGGTTGTAGGGTTCAATTACAGTCATTTTTGGTGAATAGACATACCCCCGAAATCTTGCGCATTTTCGAGAAAAAAATTCAGTAAGAGCGGCACTTTAAACGTTAATAACTTTTTAACGAAGGTTCCACCAACAAATTAGTATTCTTGATTTTTGTCTTATTTTGGCCTCTACTATCGCTCATTAAAATTTTTGCTAGAGGTGGCCGAACACCCTGTACATCATTAATTTTGGTAATATTCTGCTATTTGTAAACACTATGCTTAACTACTTTTTCTCTAAATGCCAATTATTTATAAAACAAATTGGAATTGATGTTCGTGTCAAAATATATCCAAGCACGGAAGTGAAGAAGAAAATTTGTGAATTTATCTTGCTGAATACTGTTTAAAATGTTATCCTGTTTAACTGTGTAACAATATTCTTCAGATACTTTGAGTTATGCAGTCAAAAATCAATCAATTATTAAACAATTTTACCATATAAAACGCTACAACCCAGCGTGACTTTGAAGTCATATTATTCATTATCTACATTCTTGAAGTTTGGTTTAATTCTATTATCAATATGAATTAATTGTGATTTTAGAGCAATAATGCGACCTACAAATAATCAATATATAATAATATAATAATAAACGAAAATTTGTATTTATTGAAATTTACTGTTCAATTTATTTCATTGTTAGTGTTTATCAATATTCATATCGCATAATTTTGTTTATAAGCCAAATATAATTTGGACTATAGAAAGTTAATTTATCCAGGAACAACATCAAATTGTGTAAACGTTCGACAGTTAACTGATCGCGATTTAATTTGCAATATTTATATTCTGATTAAAGCGAACGCCAAATAATTTGTATTGTGATTATTCAAATTTATAGTGCAAATAGTTATTATCTTCACCTCTAATATACCTGTATATTGTTCTAATATACTATATATTTTAATTATTATTAGTATATATTATTATATAGTAACCTCAATATATACAGCTTTACGAGATTATAATTAAAAGAAACACTACAGGTCTACATAGTAATGAGAATTTATCTTCAATTTTTGCACAAAATATTATATTATTATTCTCTTCTGTTTCTATATACACATTCTCAGTTTATTTATGGCATTTCCGTTATCATAGTCAGTATTTCGAAGATGGTGACACTTCACGTTTCTGAAGATCATAAAGACAAATACATTCCATTTGCTCGACATGAATGTGATATTTTAACTTACGAACCACAGATGAGCAGACAGTTTAAAAATGTTTCTTATTAATTTGCATTGTTCTGATGTGTACGCCATGTTATTCCCCGCCAAGATTTATACTGAATTTATTTCAAAGACCTTTTACACCTTTCATATCCAACAGTTTTTTAACATCTAAAATTTCAGGCCTTTGTCGCTGTCTTCAAGTTTCACTCCTTAAACTTGAACTTTCGCCACTACAGCGTTTTATTAATTAAAAACAAAGAGGAAGTCTTCGCGGATGCTTCTTGTTAACTTGCAGCTTCGATCCAAACTTCGCACCAAGCGAAATTTCGTCGTTCTCGCAACAAAATCTTGACAACAGCGTAAAACACTTTGCTCGAAAATACTGTTTTCCTGGAATTGTAATCGGGCGTCAACGTTAATATGCAAAACACCGGACGAACACCGGCGAAGAAATGCAAAACGAACAGCGGCCCATGGAAAAGAGAAGCGTCTCGAGAAGCGACGCCAATCAAGCCAAAGGACTGAACGTGCACAGAACTGCCGCCCACTTTAATCAAACCAAACCGACCAAAGGGGGAAAGGGCAACGAGTTGGAAGACGTGAACGAAGAAACGCGGAAGCAACTTGAAGATCTGAGCGTCCATGCCGTAGAAAATGACGAGCGACTTTTATTAATAATAAAACCGAGTCGTTTTGCAGCACACTTTCCGTGGTCTGCGAATCCTTAAGATACGTTTAGATACACCAAGGTTTACGGCTTGAATTGCAGACGATGATTTTACTCGTGATTTTTCTACATTTGTTTTATGACGTGGTATAATCTAACATGGGATAACATTATATTGTAAGTATCAGGATATAAGAAGCTACTTTTTTTAATAAGAATTCACTCAGTACGATGTGAAATTATTTTATAAAAAAAGGGAAGAAGTAAAGGTACAAAAAAGGTATATAATAAATTGTTCCATAACAGTTTCAATAATTTTGACTAATTGTTAAACGTTACCTTCAACTTTGGTGATGTTGGATACACTTTTTTCAATCTTCAGTCATCGTCACATTTAATGTCTGAACAAATAAATTTGTCATATGAACAAATTTAACATTTTTTGTAGCAAGAACAAAACTCCCACCAGCTTGATTAACATATGAATTCTATGAGCAATATTTTTTAAAGTAGTAATAACGAATGGTTAAAATTACTTAGGGATTACTCATTGTCAGAAGGCTGTCCTCGACAGTACATGTCAAGATTAAGATAATAGAAATTAAATCTTCTAATCTCAGAAGATCAAGATGAGTGACAGTGACAGCGTGTTCGGCCATCCCTGGGAAAAATTTTAATAGGAGATTCTTGAGGCCAAAATAAGACAACAATCAAGAATATCAATTCCTTGATTGGCACTTCGTTAAAAAGTTATTAAAAGATTAAATTAAAAAATTTCAAATCATTCTGGAAAAATTATTTTCGTTTGCGGGGGCCAATTATAATCATTTTTGGTCAATAGATATATCCTCGAAATCCTAACCATTTTCGAGAAAGAAATTCCTTACCAAAAATATAATCTGTGGCCTGAAATGGTTCC